CTTGGGTTTTCAAAACTAAAATTATTAGAAATTAATATTTAACCAAGCAGGGCTAAACACCAAAAAAAGAAAATTTAACTCAATTTTTTTTTATCTTTTACAAGAGTCGTTTCAACTATCCGGGGACACACTGTATATAAAATGATAGTTGTTATTCCAACAAGAATGACAAAAAATATAGTTACTTGAATCTTATTTTTGAATTAGGTGGTTTGTGAATATTATATTTTGTATTAAGAATCACCCTGTATATCATTTTCACTTATTTAAAATTACACAGTTTTATAAATATGTATGTATTAGTTAAATCTTTGTATGGGCATAAAAATTAAATCAAATGGTAGAGCAAAGTTTTGTTTAATAATTAATTATTTGTTTAATAATAATGTGATCTGAGTTAATTTGTCTGGGGTCAAGTTGCCCTAGCCCGGCCCTGAATAATAAACCATTTTTGAAAAATTGCCAAGTAATTACTAAGGGTTTGGTCTAGTGAACGAATTTTAAAGGAAATCACTCACTCTAACTATCATCAGTATCGATTTATCATAAATCCTAATAAAAGAACTTCAGCTTAAGTTTATAAAGCGAATGCAAATCTTTCAGAACTAGTTCAACTTCTATTCCGTACAGTCACGAAAGCTGTCGCTCTGTGTCCGTAAAATGTGTGTTTTATTTTTATTCACTTAATGACAGGTAAAATCTAGTTCAATTATTGTCAATCTTTCTAGAGAGAATGAAAGACTGTTGACCGATCTTCGGTCAAGATACCCGCCATATCCCCCACAGGAACGCCCCCCTTTAATTAGGAGAAAAACTAATTTAAAACTTGAGGGCGACTTGTATACAACGACCGAAAAAGCCGAAAAATTCATTCAGTATCTCCTCACCAACAAACGACCCATGAGGAAGAAACCCACAACTTTGAAACTAGAAGGCGAGATGAACATAAATACAGAAAACCGCGAAAAGTATGTCCCTTATGAGATCGCTCCAAGACCTCCACTTTGCAAAAAGTTCACAAACCTTCACCTGGAAGGTGACTTGAGTATTCTTACGGAAAAACAGGAAAAGTTTGTTCGATATGACGTCCAGAAACGGCCTCCTCTCACCAAAAAACACACAAATTTGGTAATCGAGGGCGAACTTGATTTACTCCCGGAATATCGGCGGGAATTCATTGAATATAAGACAGAACGGCCGAAATTGGCACTTCCGGTGAATAATTTAAAAACTAACGGATTTTTCGATGTGGTCCCCGACGTTTCGGCCGCTTTTCAGCAACAAATCCACCCCCAAATCCCCAATTTGCGAGGGGGTGAGGGGCATGAAGATATGGCTTTAAAGACAAGGCTTGGTAAGTGGTCACTTTATTTAATTTTTTACTTTTGATTTGATTTTCAGGGCGCACACCTGAAAATAGTTTAGTGCGAGTTGAAGCTCCGATGGAGAGTGAGACTGAAAGTCGAACGCAGTTTGTCGAGAAAGCTTCCTCAAAAAGTGAGCCTGCGAAAATCACTAATCACTTGCATTTGGAAGGAAGAATTGATTTGAACCCTGAATATAGAAATGCGTATATTGACTTTAATAAAGAGGTTTCAGCGCCTCGAACCCGCCGTCGGGGCCCTGAAAGTCACCTGAAAAGTGAAGGGAAGATGGAAATTTCTCCCGAATATAAGTGTTCGTATGTCGATTTTCCGCGGACGCGGCCGCAAGTCAAACGACCTGAAAATAGTCTATCGAGTGAAGGAGAGGTAAATTTCTTTAGTTTTAATTGGTGGATCATTAGTAATGAATTGTGTGTTGCTTAGACATAAATTTCATGAAATTTATAAACATTGATGTTATTACAATAAATTAATCAAAATTCGCGCCTCAAAATAAATGCCAAGTAAGATTAGGTACCTGGAACATGGAAAAAATGACATTTATTTGTTGACATTTGACCTGTCTTATGTGTATGTTAGGAATGATTTTTTGTATGCTTTTTTATAATAATTATTTAAAGGTACAAAAATTTTGCCAATAAAACCCACAAATGACGTTAAACATAGTTTTAATTCAGGATACAGCATTTTTTTGTTTCTTGTTCTACTAGACTGCAACAAAAATTGTAAAATTATTTTTCCCCAGAAATAAATAGGGTCAAAGTGCAAAATTTAAGCACACATAGTTTCAAAATTCTTATACAGCCGCATGCAATGTATTTTGGTAGTCACAAGTCACTAAAAAATATTCTTTTATGTCAAAAATTTTGCAATTTATCCTTTGTGATTGATTTTTTTTTGTCATAAAAAAGTCAAAAACAGTTTAAACTTCGATTGACTTTCTATTATTGCTGATATTATGGCACAAATTTTAAATTATTAAAAAAAAGTTTGTTAAAAATAAACACTGATAACCAAAATATATTGCATGCGACTGTTGATAGTATTTAAAAATAAAACATTTTTTCATGTTCCTGGTATCTTATCTTATTTGGCATTTTTATCTGGGGCGAGAGTTCTCAAAGACATCGTATATTTTGTACTACGCAGGTGCGCCAGAACCCCAGAGAAAAATACCGTGTAAAATAAGATACCAGGAACAGGGAAAAAATGTTAAAAAAATTATCTATAAAAATTTCGAAGTCATGAAGGTTAAATTTTGCACTTTGAAAAATAATTTTCCAAGTTTTTTTGCTACTGTCTATTAGAACAGGAAACAAGGGAGCTGTATCCTAAATTGTGATGGTATTTGTGGTTTTTATTGGCAAAATTTTTGTACAGTTGGTTTCAATAAAAACGGAAAATAGAATTTTCTTTAGATTGAAACAGGTTTTGTCCTTGTCAGTTTAGTTGTCAATTTGTCATCTGTCGCATTCAAATATTTTTTTCTACAATGTCGCACTTAAATGACGAAAGCATCAAATGGAAATCAAGATAATCAATTAGTGGAGTACTTACGGAAAACCCAATGAACAGATTAACTGTCAGTTCTAACTTAACCTTTTAGAATTAAGCCATGGATAAATATAAAAATCTGACGTTTTTATGCTTTGACATTTTCCGATTTTTTTGCAACCAAGTGTACCTTTACTAATTAATTATGTAAAACCATACACAAGATCATCAGTATAATAAAAAAATGTCAAATGTCAAAAAAAATGTCAAAATTTTTTGACAGAGAATTTTTTAAACATTTTTTTCCTTTTCTTAGTATCACATCTTTTCTCACTATTTTTCTCTAGGGCGCGAGTTTTGACGCATCCTCTATAGTATTACATAGTTTGAAAAAAATCAGGTTTTTAGTGTTTTTTTTATTTTTTTTTTTAACAATTTCTACCCTTGTCTAAAAAGTAAAGGGTAATAAAACTAATAAAATTCAGTATAGTTTTAGATTATTATAGCAGCTTGTGTTAGAACATAGTAATTTGCTGTTTCATACTCATCTAGTGACGTAAATGTGGATTTGTCGATAAAGTTCACGATAAAATTCACATCTGCAGAAAAAATATTTTGAATCACTTGTGATAATTTAAGAAAAACACTGATTAAAGTTTTACAAAAATACGTAGTTTTGGAGTAAAATTTGGTAATAAAAATAAAACAAAAAATTACCGACAATTAATAAATAATATCAAATATGTATTAATGTTTTTAATAAATGAGTAGGTATGTTCAAAAAATCTTAAAACATCATCGGTATTTGATGAGGTCCGATAGAGCCGAAACTGATAGTGATAACCGAATAAACAAATAAAAAGTTTGGCGCCCCTAAATTAAAAAGATAAAAGTTTAAATTATTCCTTTGTGATTTATGACATAATATTAATATTAAAATTAGAATATTAACACCTAATTTGCTTAAAATTTAAGAAGACTTCATGAAATAATTTAATTACACATACAGGGTGAATAAAAAGAATGGAACTAAAGGTTTTTTTAATTATTTGCCTAATAATTAATAAAAATTAAAGTACCTACTATATAAAAATGTAATCGTATTTTGCGAATAAAGTTTTGTGTAGTTTTTGGGTTTTGCGATTTTTTTATGTGAATTTTTCTTATAATAATTGAATATAAAGTAAATAGTTGTAATCTTGAGATTGTGTATAGCTTATTTAAAATGGTTTTGTAATGGGTTGCCATTTAAAAGAAATAAAAACTTTGCTGAATTTAAAAACAAAAAAACATTTCGAAAAATTTTATTTTTGATAGAACCTCACATTTTTGTAGTACTTTTATTTATTAATTAGTTTTTCCAAAAAATAAATAATTGAAGTAAAAAATGTTTGGTGTTTGGTGTGTATATTTCTGTTTTCTGAAAAAATCTATTTTAAAATATATTGATGTACAAGTTGAATGACTTTTCATTTTTCTAAAAATTGAAAAATTAGTCAAAACAGATTCTGTTAATATCCAAAATCCTTTTTCTTTTTAAATACAGAAAATTGTTATTAAGTTAAGAATCTCTAATACATATGTTTTACGTACGGTAATAGCCATTTAAACATACTTTACTAATAAAGAATATTACTATTTTCTTTGTAAATTAAACTGTTTTCTGGAATATATGAGTTTTTAATAATAATAGTAGTCAATACAGATTGGAAATTTCAGATCGACCACATGACTGAAAAAAACGAAAAGTATGTTCCTTTTTCCAACGTCCCAAGGACTGGCCCCTTAAAACGGGACACTGAACTGAAATTGGAGGGAAACATTGAGTGCCAACCTGAATACCGAAAAGCCTACATCGATTATTTAATCCGCGAAAGAGTGGACCGCAAATCTAGACCTTTGGACAATTTAGGCCAACCACCACGACGAATAATCGAAACGGAACCGGTCGAAAAAACAGTGATTCATTCCCAAACCCCTGCGTAAGTGAAATTAAAACAGTCAAAAAAATTACTCAAATTTTTTGTTTCAGTGTCAAAGAAGAGCCACCCAAACGCGCTAAAAGCACCCGGAACCGCTCCCTCTCCCAGATCGAAACTTCAGTATTCGGCCCCAAACTCACAGTTCCTGACAAACCTCCGTCAAGGAGCTCTAGTCCGAAACCTCCATCACGGCGAAGATCCCGGACTGTCCCTCGAAACGCTTCAAACTCGTCCGATTCGGACGTTCCTTCACGCAAACACAAAACCTTCGGGAAACCAGTCCTGGTTGAAAATTTGGCAAGTCGGAGTACTACACCCGTTTTGCCGTTGATAGACGTCTCGGCAAGGAATAAATGGATGAGGGATAGTTCGCTCGAATCGTCTTCAGCTTTCGTCGTCTTGGACAAAAATGTCAAGAAGGAGAAATGGACGCCGTGGCAGAATTATTAGGTGCCTTTTGTTGGATCGGATTTTGTAGATCTCAGGTCCTTATAGTGCCATGACTTTGTAAAGATTTTGTTAGAAAAAATAAATAGATCTGAATTAGTCTAACTTCATTTTGCCAAAGCATAAAAAACAGTCAAATATGTTTTATTTAAACGGAAATACCAAAGGAAAAGTTCTAATGATTGATTTATTTTGTTAAAATTGTTACGCCAACACAAAGAGGGTCTAATCAAATTTAAAGACCAAGACAGAAAAAACGGGGATAAATTCATTACCGCTAACAGTTTTTGGAAAGTCTAGAAAAGTGTGAAAGCAGAGGTCATAAAAAGAAGACTACCGTTAAAATTTGGACGTAGTTTGTAATGAATGTTTGCTAAACACGTTGTAATGTTTAGCAAGAAATTGAAATTGATAAAGGGACTAAAAAAGCGACAGTTTTATATCTAAAGCTAAAGAGAAATTTAGAACTCGATTTCAAACTTATTTCAAATAAATTAAACAAAACTCTATAAAAATCAAAAGTTTGAAAACATTTTAACATAAAAACAATTATAATTTTTTAATGAAATTTCTAAAGACATAAGTATAAAAAGTCGTCCACTAATGACTATTGACTTTATTCCTCCACCATTGACCTGGTAATTTTTCCGTAAAAAATCAGATTTTATGCGCGAACATAATTATAGAATAAGATTGAAGAAATCTAGGAAGTGAAACTGAAGATTTTTCGAGATGCAGAGAAGTGTTCAGATGTGTGAGAAAATTTTAATTTTGGTCAATGTTACAAAAAACTGATGAAAAGATCGACATGAAGATTTCTCAAGAATTGGTATTAAAGATTTTTATTTTACAAATGGTGTCAATAAATTCAAGTGTGGAACAGAAATTCTCAAATTAAAAAAGATGGTAATAAAGACTTTTCACAATGTTGGCATGCAAACACAGTTGGAGAAACTAAAAAACTATGCAAAAACATCTGTCAGTTTTAAAAATTCATTAGTCTTTTTTAACAAAACAAAGAAGAAAAAAACATTTACTCATAGGGTTTTTCTTAGCTTATTTCGTTTTACTTCGAATTTTTTCGAAGAAAAGTTCGCAAATATTAAATTTCAAATTGCATATCACTCTAAAGGTCAAGTCCATCCCTTTAGATTGGTCTTTATTTGAAGGAAATCGGCCTAATAGTTATTGAGTAATGATTTTTTGAAGTTAAAGTATTTTAAATTCATTTAAATTAGAAAAAAATTATTTAGTTCAAAGTGTGTGGACTTTTTAAAGTTTTTTTAGTGCATTTGATTTGTCTCACTGAACCGAACAAAATGATACATAATTTGTCAAGTTGTCACGACATGACTTTTTTTTATCGCCCTGTGTAAGCATTCATTTAAGAATAAAAGTTAATTGTTAGATCTTTGAAAACTAAACACTTTTGTTTGTTTGTTTGTTTGTTTTATTTTATTTTATTTTGTATATTTTATAATTGTTAACTGAATGTTTTTTTTTATTTAGGGTTACATTAATTTTTTAATTAATATGAAACACCATTTTCTGTATTTTTTGTAAAGATTCATAACAGTAGTTTCCAACAACATTGTATGTTGCCAGACAATTATTGTTTTTGAATCTTTACAAAAAATACAGAAAATAAATAAATTAAAGGCAATTAAGTTGTAAGGGTGGGTTGCACCAACACTAGTTAAATTTAATCTCGGATTAAATTCATTGCTATTATCATAGTTACAATTGTTTTTAATCAGAGATTAAATTTAACTAATGTTAGTGCAAACCACCCTAAGAAAAATTTATTATCACTATATAGGAAAGATCAATACATGTTAATATCAAATTCTCAAATTATAATCAGGGTTTTTTATTTTTCTTTGTGGTCGTAAATTGTTACTAAATCCCCTTATACAGTATTATCATATTGAATTGTCTTGTTTTAAATTTTTTTCTTGCTGGCTTAAATAATTCTTCAATCTCTACATCTTCTGGTGGTTTTGGTATATTATTTTTTTCTGATTCACAAATTTTACACACTGAGATTCTTCTCCATAAACTTTTTTTTTAACAAATGTTGGTTTACCTATACTTTTCGTTGTGATTTTGCATTTTCTGCAATAATCCATTTATTTCTCTAATTTTATAATGTATATCTTAGAAATAATTTTGATTCGTATTTTAGATTATGAATACATATGGGAACATACTTTGGCAGGTAAATTTAAATTTAAATTACATTTATTACAAGCAGCTCCTCGATATTGATCTGTATAGTGATCTTGATCTCTAACTTTATTATCTTTTTCAAGTTCACTATTACATACCAGGTGAATAAAAAATATGGAACGAAGCGTTTTTCTCGTAAACTAACTACTTTACAAAAAAAATAATTAGTGTAGCGTAAAGTCCAATTAAAATGTGACCATTTATCAAGAATAACATTTTTCGAAATTTCTTTTAGTTTTCGGGTTTTAGAAAAAAATTTTAAATGGCAACCCACCATGATAATTTTTTTAATTAAAGATTATGATCTAAAAATGACCTTTAATTAAATAAAATTGTTTTTTACTTTTTTTTAAATTAATTGTTAAAGTTGCCTTCCGAGCTCATCACGAAGATTTTCCGAACTTAACCGAAGTGGTTGTTTCATGCTTTTCATCATGATTTCTATGCAGGTGCTTTGGGGTGGTTTCGAATGGACTAAAAATAGAAGAAAATGATTTGTATTTACATTTTTTGATCCATCCTGAACCACCCCAAAGCACCTGCACCAAAAACCGGGCACTCCAACGACCAAAGTCATGAAACGACTCCCTCGTTCAAGTTCGGAAAATCTTCGTGATGGGCTCGGAACGCAACTTTAACAATTTATTTAAAAAAAAAGTACTGACCAGAAAACAATTCTGTTTAATTAGAGGTCATTTTTAGATCATAATCTTTAATTAAAAAAAATACCATAGTGGGTTGCCATTAAAAAAAAAAAAAATTTTCCAGAACTCGAAAACTAAAAAAAATTCGAAAAATGTTATTCTTGATAAATGGTCACATTTTAATTGGACTTTACGCTACACTAATTATTTTTTTTGTAAAGTGGTTAGTTTACGAGAAAAACGCTTCGTTCCATACTTTTTATTCACCTGGTATATGGCAAAATTTTCATTGGTCTTGGTCATTGGAATATTTAGTTTTTGTATTGATTATATTTTTTCTAATTTGAACTATAGTAGTTCATTAAACTCATTCATTAAATTTTTCAAACTTCCATTGTTTGTTAAAAATAAATTGTCAGGTGTATCAAAGCAAAAGCTGTTTGGTATGTGTTTGTTAAGAAATGTTGTATTTTTTATTTTTTTAAGAGACATTCAAAATCTAAACTTACAGAATTACAAATATTAGACTACTTTAGTAACAAAAAATTCATTAGCTACCGGACTAAAGATATGTACTTCCTGCTAAAGACGCAAATACCGTTTTAGAAAATGTAACGTAAAAGGGATGCCGTGGCAGAATTCCCTTTGGTTGGCTCAGATTTTTGGTAAATGTTCTTTTATAGTGTCATGACTGCAATATATTAAAAAGCATATTACATGAAAATAAAACTGAATTAGTCTAATTTGTCATTCGTTTGCAACTTTATTCCTGTCATAATAATAAACTATAATTATGACCAACGTAATAAAAAATATTTTTACCTGATAAAACAAAAAAATTAAAGAGAACAATAGGGTCTTAAAATTTTATTTCACATTAGGCAAAACAATGACAAATTTGTTTTTTCTAGAAATATATTTCTTCTTGAATGATTGAAAGTTGGTCAACCACAGAGGTTTTACCTCATGGTAGGGATTTTACCATGAGATGCACTAAGGTCAAGAACCCGTTTGAAATGCAAAACACACAAAAAGATTGCAGCGGAAAACGGGAAATTAGCAAATTAAATCAATATTTCATAACCTGAATAATGCGTAAAAATTGCTGATTTTGTTAGCTACGAAAAGAATTTAATGACATTTCACCAGCCTTGCAATCTTTCTCAATATATTGTTAATGCATTTCCTTTCGCTAAAACGATTAGTTTGACGTCATTTAAATCTATAGCGACAAAATCCCGGTAAAGACACACCTTCCATGTTCATTGTCACGTACATAGGTTTATGAATGAAGATAAATTTGTAAAATGGATCAACAATGTTTACCGTGTCGCGCCCCATTCCTATAATTACTATTTTTTACATACAATTGTAGCGTCTCAAATATTTCCCTTCATAAAAGTGTGTCAACAACAATTACAAACACGTTTGTAGACTTTTCTTCGGAAACGTTTGAAAATTGACCTGGAATTACTTAATTTATGTAACGAGCAGTTGGGTCGTCGAAGATGACCAAAACAAAATGTTTCTGAATTATTCTTTGACACCCAAAATAAAACGACTTCCAGGTACTACATTAATAAATATTGGCTTTGCAAAATTCCGCTTTACGGAAAACCCACGACTGTGACAATCGATGTGGATCTAATTAGAAAAACAAAAAGTCCCTCTTTGCTAAAAATAGATTGTTTAATTAATTGATTTTTACGTAAAAAAAATTTAATTGGCTGCAGTTTGATAAATACGGCATGCCCAAATAATGAACAATCAAATTAATTCAGCATCGGTTTTGAGCTGAAAGCATCTCTGCTTATTTCGTGAATGGCGGGAGAACGATCTGCACGCATAAAGCTTTTCATACATGGACAGGACTGTTAGAAATTATGTGAACAGATCGAGACCAAGGAGGAAGTGTTGAGTGGTTTTTACGTAGTTTTGTGCAAGTAAGTTGTTTATTTATTCACGGAAATAAATTAGGAAGTCATCTTGAATCGCTTATATTTTTTGCTAGTTTGTACAAAATTAGTGACGTGAGTGAAATGTTTCGATTGAATCAATCGTACCGTAGCTTATTAATGGTAAATATTTGCCAATTTTACGTTATCACAATTTACAATGATAATCTGCTTTAACTACTTAATTGCGTTAATTTTCTTGGAGGTTAATTAGTTTATGACTGACCACAAAAACAATTTTGCGTTGTATGAAAAGTAAACTACTTTAAAAAAAAAAAAATTCAAAGAATTTAATATGACACTTTGTAAATTCACTTGCCACACTATTAGAATGTGGAATTTTATTCAAAACGCTCTAAATTGTTTCATAATTGAGAGAAAGAAATGTTTTTGTGTGTTGTGCTTGGAACTACCTAAATATTTTTAGATCAGTATCACAATACAATTTTGTTTTTGCGGATATCTAATCAATTTCACTAAAGTACTCGTTAATAAGTGACAGTAAAGTAATTTCATGATAATATGTGGAAGGACATTGATCCTGAACTTGTTAAATGTCCTTCAATGAAAGATTGGTTTTTGTAATCTGCCAATTTTGTTCGTCATGCTTGTGCTTTTGCTCTAACTCGTCTCCAGACACTGAAGAATTTTAATTGTAAATGGAAATATACAGGGTAGAATGAGCAAAAAGAAACATTAAACATTTTTCTTCTGAAAAACTGATGAATGATAAAGTACATACTATAAAAATGTCATTGTTCTTCAATAATAAAATGTTGTATCTTTTTTTGTATTGGAGTTCTATAAAATTTATTAATTATTTTAAATGGCAACCTGCTATAAAAAATTGAAAAGAAAGTTGTAGAAAAAAAATACAAAAATGTTACTTAAAACATTGTGAAATTAATTTTTTTTACTACTAGCTGTAAAAGTTACCATTATTTGTCGAAAGGTTCTGAAGTTTTTTTTTTCTCTACTAGTAGTCAATAAGCATTTTCATTATGGACCAAGCACTATAATGTATTAGAGGTGGGTAAAAGCCGATGTTGGAGGGTATAAATATTTCTAGAATATTATTATTGAAAACTATTACCATCACAATTAATAACGGAAGTATTTCGTGATTAAATTAATGCAAAATCAAATAAAAAAGACTTAAGTTTTCTCAGTAAAGACATCATAATAACCTCAACTCTAGTACTTTTGTCTATGTCAAAACTGTTATTTTAACAAATATTTCATATTATGAAGTTAAAAAATTTCTTTAATACTTACAGAAGTGTAACTTTTATATACATGGTCGCTAAAAAGTATGGATACAGTTAATTATTATAAAAACTATTCATCAAAACTTATTGAAATTTGGTATATGCTTAAAAGTATTTAAATTCCAAGCCCTCAGATATTTATTACTTCTATTTTCATTTGTTCTGGGGATACAAGGCTAACTTTATCTTTTCAATGGCAAGAAGGGTTAAATTTAATATTTAAAAAAAAAGCATTTTTTTCTGAGTTTTGTGATGTAACACATGCATACCTTATTTAAAAAAAAATATCGAAGTAATTAAATTTTGAAAAATGAAAAATTTTTTAGCCTTGGAAATGTTGTCTTTATTTATCGTTAGCACTTTACCGCCTAAACTTTGACTAGAAAATAGGTAAACTGTCAAATTTCAGTGTGTTTGGCTAAACTGTTCTGAAAATATTTAGCTGTATCCACACTTTTTAACGACCCTGTATAAAACACGGTAGAGAAGATTTTTCTAGTCTCGCATGCTACGCAATTACGCATCTCGGGAAATAAACAGTTCGGCTATAAAAATCTCTTCTCTACCTTGTGATATAATAAACTATTATTTGTAAACAATAGTTTATTTAAAAAACATTTGGTTTCAAACTTTTTACTTACCTCGTATATAGATTTTTTTCATATATTTTTTTTTCGTTTTTAATGAGTCAAATTTCGAAATTTGCAGTGCGTTACTGATAAGTTAATAATAATTAACATTGGACGGCAGGTATTTAGCCACAATAACCGGAAATAAATTCGTTTTTTATAAGTGTCACCTACTTAGGAGTAAGTTGCTGTGATACAAGTATGATTTAGCTTAAAAAAATTAAATATACCAAAGATGAAAAAAGCTGGTGGTTGTTTTTATTCGGTTTCCAGATATTTATTTAAAAATATTGAATCAATTCTACATTGTTAGTCTAAAACTGCACTTTCAATTAATAATAAATACATTGTTGTAGGTTATGACGTTGCGTAATGAAAAAATCCTCACACTTTCATAAAAGTGTCGAAGAGCTAATTGCAATTAAAAACAAGTGCAAGAATAATTGCTGTTATATAACATATTGCTATTGTTTGCATTTTATAACTGTACTAACAACAAACATATATGTTAATTTCATAAATCAATAACACTAATAACATATCAAGGTACGTTATACAATGGCAATAATTAGCAATAAATCATTTTTATTTTGAGGCCCGTGTGTAAAATTTTAATTTTTTTAATAAATATCTAATAAAATATTAACAAACAAAATATTTATTGATCTTCGAGTGGTAACTACAGAAATTTCAGCATATACCACAAAATAGCCAAGCACAAATTACAAAATCAAATAATAATTCTTAATTAATCTTGACCACACTGAAAATGGGTCAGTAATTTTGGGTTTTTCAAATAAAATTGCGACGATTGAGAATTTATTGACATTGACACTGAATGGAATCTTAAAATGGAGTGGTATTTTCAATGTCATTAATAATTTCAAAATGTAAGTGCCATATTGTATTGGAGACAATAACAAGTTTCCCATTTTACTCGTTGTAATAACTAAAGGAAATGTTATTGCAACAATGCTAATGCAGAAAACGTGAGAATTGTATGAAATTAACGAAAATTATTTATATAACGCCATATACAGGTCGTTTCAAAATAAATATTTTTTGTAAAATTAGTGGAATGTAAAGGGGTCATAAAACTAAGACAAAATTTGATTATTATCTCTAAAATCAATAAGAAACAATAAAAAAAGATAAAGCTATCCAAGAAATATAATGTGGTTTAATTTTATCTTCTAGTAATCAATAGATTAAATATTTGTGTCAGCTAGAAACAAAATAAGATGTTGCAATAGAGTTTAATGTGTTCATAGAGTCATATCACAGCGATTTCAAATTGTTTCAGAGTGAGTATCGAAATTTGTATTTTTTCACTGTAAACATATAAATTCACTGACTTATCGTCGGAATATTTTACTGACGTTAAAAATGAACTTGTCACACTAAAAATGGTAATTAGTGTTATTTCTCACTTTTTTAAGTGTCGTTTTAGAGGTTTAGTCATAGTTGTCTTAGGTGATACTACTCGCAAATATCACAAAATGTTGTTTGAAGTTTGATTTGAAGTAAGTTGAAATAAAAGTAACACACCGGGAAAAGTGAAGAAATAATTAAATGAAAACAACAAAAAATTGTAGTGCGAAATAATAAGTGATTATGTATTATATGTTTGTTATTTTGTTTAGAACGATACGAAATTCTTAATTATTGACATGTTTTTTAGTACTTTTTGCTAACAATTCTATAATACAAACATTTAACATTAGTTGCGACATTTAAATATGAAAAATATTTATTCATGAAGACCTACGTAAAATTAAATTAGCAACAACCATCCAAAACTTGCCAACTTTACAAAAAAGTCAAATTTTTAGCAGACAAAACCCATCAGACCAGTTTTTTGCTTCAAAATCTTTATAATCTTATTGTACTCGTATTTTGTAACCCATTCGACCATAAACACATAACAAATATAATATAAAATCTAATCCTACCGTGAAATTGCTCAGAGTTTAATAAACGCTTCTAAAAATTTAATGGAACTTAATTCATACTTTAAGTCCAGAGAGTAAAAATATTTGTTATTGTTCTGTGCTATCAGAGGTGTGTCAAGTTTTGCGATAAATTGTTGTTGATTTAGAACATTTTCATGTTTTATGAATGACAGCTCAGTTATTTATTACATTCATTAAAAACACTCTAATTAACATGGAAGTAGTTGAGATAGAGATGATTGATTGAATATAAACCATTTTTTTAATCGCGTCATATTAAGATTATTTAAAATACCGTGTAAGCCACAAGAATTATTTTATCGTTTATTGCAAAATAAATTTCGATAGAGATAATGAACTTCTCAATGAAATTGATAACAAAATAGTTAATGGTTAATAAATAATTAAATAGTTTTCCAATTGTGATAAGTAGTAGTACTTTAGTCCCTTGTTTACAGAATGGCTGAAAAAACTGGTGTTAGTACCAATAATCTTGTCGAAGCAGGTCACTATGGCAAGTCTAAGAAGTTGCCCCAGTACATTGCTGCTCTCTCAGGTAAGATGTTTAAAAAGTTATTTGATATTAATTTAATTAAATAAATATACAAAATATGTTTAATCTTTCGTTGTCATTCAGAAATGAAATTTTGACTTTTTAGAAAATTAAAATTTTATATGATTATTATTATTTCATCCAATATCAGCATAGAAAAAGCACAAAGTGAAAGTGTAAATTTGCATTTATTAAAAACCCTTTTTTTCTATGTATAAAATTGTCTCAAATTTTTATAATAAATAATTATTTATTTTAATAGATAATTTAAAAGGCTTTCTAAGAAGCTACAGCATGTTACTTTTGTACTAGAAAATAGAGTACATACAATATTTGTTATAAGAACATCAAAAAAGACACCAAATTTTTAAAATCACCTGTTTTTACATATCTGGAAAGTATCTTAACATACCACCAAAAACTGAGAACATAAAAAATCACAAAATAAATACCCTAATATTTATACACTCCAAAAAATTACTATTTCAATAAAAACTGACCATACTAAAATCATAATTAAAAATATTTTCTTGTTTTTTGACACCCTAAACTGGCTTTTTACTTCTGAACCAGGGCACTTTAAAAACCAAGTAGAACTCATTGAAAATAAACCTCTAATATTATAACTGAGAAAAGTCAAAATCCTCAATTTTTCAGACTCTGGCTTTTTTTCTAGGCCAAGGCAAAATTACTGAAAATATGTGACAAGAAATAAAAATGTATACCTTTGAAAGCTAGACAAATTATTATTGTTAAGATTCAGAATGTAGCTGGATATATTCTGACAATTATTAAAATAAAAATAGAAATTAAAAAAATCTTAAAATTACCAAAACGGATTAAAAATTCTTAGGGTGGGTTTTCAGAAGCTGAATTAAATATTTGATTGCAATTAAATTTAATTCATTACGTGATTGGTTGAATTTTGATGAACAACAACAACATTTCAGGATTTTGAAGTTAAATTTGATTTAATTCACCTTCTGTAAACCCATCCTTACTAAGATTTAACTTTTTATCATGTTATTTTAATTTAATTTCTTATAAAAGCTGATTGTACTAAACGGACAGTTAATAGTAACAGCAGAGCTACATTTTAATTTAAGTAAGTTTTTGAATCATTATGTTGAACAAGATAAAAAATGTAGAATTTTATATGAAAGTAATAATTATTTACAAATGTAAGGCGGTTAAAAAAGCCTTAAAGACTGAGGAAGCTGTTTAATCATTCATTTATTCCACCTCGTGGATCATAAACCACCCGTTGACACTCGTGTTTTAATAATCCTCTCGTGAAATAAAACGTCCGATTTACACTCAAACTCGTCGAATAAATAACTATTTATTATATAGCTGTTTTTAACATTAGATATATTAGATTACATTAGATTATAAGAGGCAAATAATATACGCAACAGAAGTTTGAAAACTGAGGAAATAACCGAGTTCAGCTAAGTTCAATATTGTTCATAACATAATAATCTGCTAGGTATACTACGTATATTACAAAAACAAAAAAAAATGTTTAAACGACGCCGGCAGTTACTATGATCGGCCGTTAAAAATCACAGTTTTTTTAATCACGCCCTACACCATAACAACGGTAACATAAAACTAATACAGGGTTAGTCACGAGAGGGTTATTTCTGAATTTGTTTTTGACGCAACCCATTATACATATTGCAACAATTTATTGATTCCAAATTTTGAAAATAATTATAACTAAATCCACGATAGCTGTTATTAGTCTTGTCTCTTCGACATTAAAGCAAAAAAATCATCTCTCAAACGATGCGACATGGTTTGTTATCGTTTACCAACCGACTAGGCGCATGTTTAGAAATCGATGGTAGACAGTTCAAACACCTTTTACATTAACTTAACTTGTTAATTTATTTGTTGAATTTTGATTAAATATATGTTATCTGTCAATCTGACATTTCTGGCAAATCTATCCAACTTACTTTGAAAATTGGTATTGTTGGTTGCGGCAAAAAAAATTTCAGAAATAACGCTCCCGTGAATAACCCTGTATATTTTAAATTATTAAATTCAATTTAATTATTATTTTTGTTATACTATGTTGTTATGGAGTGAATAACATTCAACAATCGTTAACCCAATCGTTAATATATCTCTAGCATCTTAGTAACTGAGCTACTATTAAAAGGTTTTAACAGCTTGCTTTTTGACAATTTGGATAGTTTAAACCTTAAATATTAAATATTTTCAAAATTAAATAGTTATTTATTTTGTACTCAATGTTAAAAAGTGCTTTCATCAAGTAATTTCAGTAAATAAAGTAGTCTTTTATCGTCTAGTGAAATAAAGTAATTTTTATCTACTGTTTAGATTTAAGAAATTCTGGTAGGTAAGTACAAAATAAAACGAAATATTATACACGACGATAAAGATTGTTTATCTACTCGTTAAAAAAAGTCCACTCGAAGTCGTCTCGAGTGTTTTTATATAAGCTAAATAAATTATTTTGATTTGTTGTCATTTTTTCTCTAGCTATCAGGACAAAAATTACAAAAACCGTAAATGAGGTTAGTTGCCTAAGGCCCGTTTTACATTTTTATGTCAGTCGAATGACAAATCGTCCAAAATTCCGTGTCCGCCAGTGTATAAAATTCTAGTTTTTTTTATCTTGTTTAACATAATGATTCAAAAACTTACATAAATTAAAATATAGCTCTGCTGTTACTACTAACTGTCGTTTCGTATTGAGAAATGCCAAACAATTGTCAGAACTTTCTTACACAGGAAAAAAAAACGTAAATTTTGACAGTGTCGAAGAATAATAGTTATTTATTCCACGAGTTTGAGTGTAAATCGGACTCTTTATTTGACCGAGTGGATTTTTAAACCACGAGTGTAACGAGTGGTTACCATCCACAAGGTGGAATAAAGCGTCCGATTTACACTCAAACGAGTGGAATACAACATTTTATTCTTCGAATTAGAGTCAACAAGGCTTAAACTTGCTTTAAATCTGTTAAAAATATTTTGACGTTTCGTATTGTGAAGTGCCAAACAGTTGTCAAAACTTCCTTACACGGGAGAAAAACCGTAAATTTTGACAGTGTCGAAGAATAAAAGTAATTATTTCATTAAGCATCCGCCATTTGTAAAATAGTTAATTTTAATTTTTTAGTTCTTAATTTGCAAAAAGAGAAAACGTATTTTTAGCAAACTACAAAGTAGATACTAAATAGTACTGAATTGTTCTTATTTATGGAATTAAAAAGTACTTAAATAAAATATGAAATGGTTATGTGTAGCTTAAAAAGATGTCTAGTAGTTTTCAAAGAAAACAAAATCACCACTTATGTAGACAACTTCTCTTAATTTTTGAAATCTGCAACCTTCTATACTTATTATAACATTTTTGCTTTCTTTTTGGTTTAATATGACAACAAATTTATCAAAAAGCACTTAACTGGAACACCTTATAAAACTGCGCAATTTTTTACAGTATGTATGGGCTCAGTGGCGGCCGGCACCGTTCTTGGCTGGACTGGCAACATTACCAAAGAAGACCTCGCAAAAGGCGAACTCAACGACATCCTGGTGGACCCCGACAACGAATACGGTTGGATTGGCTCCTTTAGCACCCTCGGCGCCCTCTGCATGTGCTTCCCCATCGGTTTTATCTGCGACCTCATCGGTCGTAAACTCGCCATGCTGCTCACCATCATTCCCTTCAGTATCGGCTGGCTCTTGATCATTTTCGCCGACTCTACGGCGATGATTTTCGCTGGGAGATTCCTCACAGGCCTCGCCGGAGGCGCATTCTGCGTCTCCGCCCCCATGTACTCCAGCGAAATAGCCGATAAAGACATCAGGGGGGCTCTAGGGAGCTATTTCCAACTACTCTTAACTGTCGGAATCCTTTTCGCCTACCTCTTGGGAGCGTTTGTAAAACCCCAAATTGTGTCGATTATCTGCGCTTGCGTTCCGTTGGTCTTCGGAGTGGTGTTTTTCCTCCAGCCGGAAACTCCGGTCTACAGTTTGAAGAAAGGAAACGAAGAAGCGGCTATTAAAGCTTTGAGGAAACTCAGAGGAGATGAATATAACGTTGAAGCCGAAGTTGCGGATATCAAAGCTACCATTGAAAAAGCTGAAAGAGAAAAAATTCCTCTTCTTCAATCTTTGGAAACAAGAGCGGCGAAAATATCGCTTCTCATTTGCTTCGGTTTGATGTTTTTCCAGCAGTTGGGAGGCATCAACGCTGTTATTTTTTACGTAGGGACCATTTTCGAAGAAGCTGATTCAGGTTTGTCTGCTTCTGATGTCACAATCCTCGTTGGTGTAATGCAAGTCATCGCAACTTTTGTCTCTTCCCTCGTCATTGATAAATTTGGTCGGAAAATTCTTCTTCTGATTTCTGGTTTCATCATGGCAATTGCTGGAATTCTTCTTGGCATTTATTTCTCATTAAAGGACAATGTTAGTGGTATTGGATTTCTTCCAATTTTGGGTGTTTGTATTTTCATTATTGTGTTTTCGCTGGGATTTGGACCAATTCCCTGGATGATTTCCTCGGAAGTTTTTCCAGCAGAAATCAAAAGTAATGCCAGTTCAGCTGCTGGAACTTTTAACTGGTTTTTGGCTTTTCTTGTAACCAAGTTTTATGGCGATTTGGCCAAAGAGATTGGCACAGATGTTACGTTTTATATTTTTTCGGGTGTTTCATTGGTCGGAGTTGTATTTATTTTCTTTATTGTTCCCGAAACGAAAGGCAAAACTTTGGATGAAATTCAGAGAGAACTCAACGGAGAGAAAACTGTTGCGCGAGGAATTGACAATGAAGGATTTAATAGTTAGTTTTAGTTGTAAGTAAATAAAGGTATTTTTTATAAAGTACTGAACTCAATACTTGTACCCTAGTTATTTATTAATTATGACATAAAATAACGCAAGTACTTGATATTTGTATTATACTATCTCCATTTGTTTTGTTCAACAAAGGACCAACTACATACTATATTTTTCTAGTCAAGTTCTGTCTTAATTAATACCAGCAATAAATATTGTAATGTGCAAAACTTTATAGAAATAAACGATATTTATACGTATGTTATTGAGTTTTTCTCTTGCAAATGAAAAATTAATGTTAAAAAACGGATAACAATGTAAAATGTAATAAACACAATTAAAACTTAACAAAACTATAAAATCAAATAGAAATACAGAGTTTTCAAAAAGTGTAAATCAATTTTATTTTGCAAAAACTTATTAAAACTATGAGTATATTAACTATTTGAACTACTTCAACAAATTTATATTTGCAATAAAAAAGCAATTTCTTTGTCTACTTTAATTTTGACCAATTTTGGTTTTTCATTTTTTGTATTGTATGCGCAAAAATTCTTACTTTGTCAAACGTAACAATAGTTATTTCGAATTTCGAGAAATTCGAGAAATTAACGATATTTATTGAGTTCCATACAAAACCAACAGGTTAAATTAATAATAACATAAGAAAATGATAAATTTAGCAAAATATTTAGTTCATACAGTTACTCAATTCACATTCAAGGGCTTATAAACAGATGCTTTTTAAATGTGATTTTAAAAACCATTCTTCGTTGGAGGCAAGTAACTGAAAATACAAATAAAATAAGTAATTTTTAAATAAAAATTTAACCCCAACAACTGGTTGTCCAAAACAAATTGGAACTGTTTTCTATAATAACTTATGACGGTTTTTTTTTCCTTTTTGGAAAAGTTATCAAGTTATCAATTTAGAGAACTAGTTGATGGAAGATATGAATACATTGTTATTAAAAAAATACTTATTGTATTTGTATTTTCAGTTTTTTCTCGCATCTCGAAAATTTCACTATACAAATTTGAAAAAAAATGTACTTCTTGTTGGATCGTCTCGGTATGAAAACAAACACAATTCGTGTTTGTGTTTAAAAAACTATAATTTTCTTAGATTTTTTTTATTAAAACTAAATTTTGATAAATATCCGAACTAAATAGTGTAATTTTTATTTGTTGTTGTCGCATGCTATTTCTGGCACAGATATTTTAAATTCTGCGTCGCAAAACAAACGTAATTCTAGCTCAATTATAGCATTTCAGAGATAAAAAGGAATGCTATTTTTTATCTAATATTATGCATAGATTTGTCCGATTAAAATTTGCCTACATTTAAAATGTTTTAAATATTTCTCATTCAAATATTTTTCTGTTGACTCGTTCTATTTCTATATAAACACACCGGAGCATATTTTTTGTAGTACAAATTTAAATGTTAGTACAAAATGAAGCGATATATCAGACTAGTCCCGTTTTTAACTCTATTATTATTTAATGACACTTTTGCTCATGGTGAGTATCCAATTATTCCTTTGCAAATTTCTCTAGTGCAACTTTTAGATCACTCAAAAAATCGCCAACACTTGGGAAAAATCAACCGCTCACATTTTGAAAAAAGAGACCAAACTGTATGCCAACGTGAAACAATGTAAAAAATATTGACTTTATAATTTCAGTCAGAAACCGAACCCAGTCTCACGATTACCATCACAGCAAGTATTTTTCTTGCTCTAAACGAATCTTCAGAATCTGCAGCTGTCTTCGATTTCAAATCGAACATCAGTGCTGTTATTAATTCCGACTCTGTGATACTTATTAACTACGAAAACGGATCAGGAGTTTATCTTTCCCAAAGTTTGTTTAACAGTCGCGACAATTTCGAACAATTTTTTCGAAATTTGAATTGTTTAAAACAGCTTTATCAAAATGGTGAACGAAACGGAGTTCCATTTAATGTTACTTCAGCCAGTTCAGACGTTTCTAAACGAGTTTCGCAAATATTAAATTCCTTGGGTGAGCATTCATCGCCATCTGAAGCTCCCGAAAACTACCAAAAGCTCTCCCAATCCGTGTCGGACATTTTCCAGAATTCCCTCAGCGGTTTTGTTAAAATTATAAGCGACACAAGTGCAAACTACAGAGGGGATTTAAACCCACTTGTTGCCATTTTTCAAGGATTACAGAGCTTCTTCAGTGGCCTTTTAGATTTATCAAATCGAAATTTTAAACTAGATTTGTCGAAACTTCTAAACCAGCCTTCAGGTCTTCACGTTTTAAATAATCTCCTAGAACAGGTAGCTTCTCACATCAATGTTGGGCAACTCCTCGGTGATCGTTTAAACTCCCCAGAAAACCTTTTCCCTCTATTGAACCTTCTCGGGGGTAACAGTACCGAAGGTTTGAATGGTTTTATCCACGTCATTTATGAAGTCATAAACTTGAACCAGAATCATAGCAATGTTCAACAACTCGTCTCCAGTTTGCTTGAATATTCGGGGAATTCCAGTAACGGCAATCAGGGTCAACAGTTCTTGTCAGCTCTCCAAAATCTCCAAAACACGATCCAGAAACTCAATTTGGGCAATTCTTTCCAGTTTTTGTCACATCTTGCACAAAATACCAATAGTAGTGACAGTAGTAACATTTCCCGTATTGTTTCAACTCTTCTTCACTTCGATCCCCAAAACCCCATAAATCCAATTGTAGCTATTTTACTTTCAATGCGACAAAGAGTGTCTCCTGAAGAATCCATTCCTGAACTCTTCGAACAGTTAATCTCGCGATTAAACTCAACAAATGGTCGTCATTGCATCTCTAACATTTTCCCAAATCTCAACATCACAAATGGTTCTGACGGGATTGAAAATTTAATTCTTGTTGGGTTTCATATTCGAAATTTTATTCTCCAAGGAATTGAAAATTTTTGGACTAACATGGCTGATTTTTGGTCACACATTCCGATCATTGGCAGGTTTTATGAAGCTATAGATCGGGCTTTAGCACTGTTTACGAAAGGAGCAGTTCAGTTGAACAAACTTTTCGAATCACAAGTTGCTAGACCTAGAATTGAACGTATTTTGGGTTTTTTGAGAGGAATAGCAAATAGGGAAGAGAATTCAAGCGAAAGTGGAAGTCAAGGCGTTTTGGGGAATTTTATTAAACCGATTCTTAATCAAGATAAACATAAAAATGGCCATAAAGAACGGCACCATTTTAAAGGTGAGAAAAAAAAGTGAAATTATTTGTTTAAATAGTAATTTTCTTCCAGATAGTAGCAAACACAAGCAAATGAAAGATAAACATCGTTTGGAGAAGCAAAAACATTGATTTAAAAATTAAGAAAATAAATAAATTCAAAAATGGTGATTTATTTACCTTGTTTTTTTTTTTATTTGTAAACTGGCTATTTTTGTTTCAAACGTAAAAAACTGTTGCCAAAATAACTCAGTTTAAAGCACAAAATTTAAGTCAATCAAATCTTTCAAATTTCTTGGATTCATCAAATCAGATTCAAATTATAATTCGTGATAATTCAACACGTGTGCAAATTATTATCGATCATTTCCTCGCTTGCTGGTTGGATGAATCTCAGAAATTTGAAAGATTTGATTGACATAAAACAAAAATTTAATAAATATTTTCTTTTTTATAATAAAAATATTGTTTTTATAAATTGTGTTTGGGAAATAGTCTGCAAAATACCCCTCGTACATGCCAAATTGATTCTAATTTTGTCTCGTGCACTTGACAAAATTACCGACAATTTGGCATGCACTCGCGATAATACTAGCTTTAAAAATACAAAAAAGCAAGATATACAAGTAATAAATTAATGCCGTTTATGTAATGTAATACCACTGCTCAAGTTAATTTCTGATCATATGATTCGTTAAAAAACAGCTATTTAGACTTTTAGAAATGTTTTTTTTTTCAAATACGACAAAATAAAAAAAATATGAAAAATAAGTTAAATCGAAAAAAACAATCACAAAAGACGAAGTTTTTATTAAAAAATAAAACCCAAACGGATGAATTAAGACGAAATTTAAACCCTGTATAAAATCAAGCCGTTTTAGTTTCCATTTAGAGTTTGATTTTTCAAAATTTGTTGAAATAAAAAGTTCTAGTTAAATTATAAGCCAGTTTTTATTAATCTTGATGTTTTAAGTTTTTC